TGTACACTTTAAGATTTCTTGGTGTGAAGTAACACAAAGCTTTACTACAGTGATGTAGCGTAGAGCATGAATATTACCATCCAGCAGCAATACAGGTCATCTAATGCAACCTAATTTCTTATCCTTGAATCTCTTTCCACAAACCCATTTAAATGGCTGTAGAGCCTCAGCTTACCTACTAATGAAAGGGAGCTTACTATCTTAAAAGCAGTGCATGGCTGTCCAGAAAGTTTGTTTATTAGAAAATATTTTCTGATGCTGCATTGAAACCTACTTCCTTGTAGGTTCTTATTGCATATTTAGATTTATGTAAAAATACTATTATATAGCAAATTCTCAATTAAAAACTAATATTGATGATGATGATGGAATGATGACAATGATGGTATCTACAGATTTACCATTAATGTAGCCTAAATTCACATATTGCCTTCTGTCAGATTACTCTTTGCAACAATTAAATCCTTAGGATTTTACTCACTCATACTAAGCCTGTCTTAGTAGTGTGGTGTGAATTTGGGTTAAGATGTATGTTTGGGTCTCTCTGACCTAGACCATCAAATTCCTTACCTTAACCCACCATCCATCGCAGTGGTTTTCCTTTATCTTTACCACTACTGAATTCCATTATAACATCAAAGATGCTTCAAAGGTGTCTGGGCCTTTCCCTGGAGGCCTCGCCATAGTGGCAAAGACCCCTACGCAGAGGCAGCCTGCGCTCAGCAGCATTTCCCAGATGCTCCCCTGAGCTGGGAGCTACTCTGTTTCTGGCCTGCAGTGCAACCATAAGACTGGTCTTCCCTGCTGGAAACTTGTAACTGAGCTTAGGGAGCCCTGGGGGCTCTGGACCCAGTGTGTGTTGGTCACCACTTATAGCTGGGAGGCATTCCAGAAAGTTCAGCTCCCTTACACCTTAAATGGGAGCAATGATAGGTCCTCTCTTCAAGGTCAATGTGAGGATGAACTGAAGCCGTGCTTCTGAAAAATACAGTCGAGAATGATTCGTTCACACTGCCTTTCCCTTTGAGTAGAATTAATCAAGCAGTGTTAATCCAACTACAGTTTTTAACATTACACAACCCACATGTTACTCTTCTGCTCCATGGTAGAAGCTTCGTCTGGAGCATTCCCTCGATTTGCCAAGCCTGTCAAAACAAAATAGCAAAGATTCTTGGTTCAACAAATGATAATCTCTGATGCTTCTGACACTGGACTCTGAGATATCTGTATGTTGCCAAACATTACTGTTCCAAGTTATATATGAGTGAGAGGGAGATGATTTAAAAAAAGATTATTTGAGTAGTAAGTGTACTCTTTTGAGTCATCAGAGAGATGATAAAAAACACATTAATTCTGAGATTTCAGTACTGGGAATTGTGGGACCACTAATTATAAGGTGACAATTTGGAAACAGATGAAACACACAGATTCATCTCGGGTGGTTTTCAGCCACGTGTTGTGATGATGGGAAAACCTCAGTGGAGTATCGCTTCCACAGGGGAGTCTGTAACCCATAACCCACAATCATCATGAGCTATTTCCAAGTGTTAGAAACATCTGGAAATACCATGGTAATATTGCACATGCGGTCATTAACATTGCATTCTACTCAATTTATCACGAAAAAATCATCAAGAAGTGAGAACCATGATCTATTCCTTTCATCTATTTATTTTATCTGTAGAAGAACAGAAAAACATATTTTATAGTTTAAAATATTCTGTGTTGTCAATAACATTTGTTATAATTTCTCAAAATGTTCCTTGACTTGAATTAGTTATATATACGGTTAAAAGCTTCATTAATGACAGAGCACGCTGACTAAAAGCTGCCCGTATGTGCAAGATACACTATTTCCAGGAAACATACTCTACATGTGCATTGCAATCTGAGTGTAGAAACCATACCACACACAATATCTTATTTGATTCTCATAAAATCATCATGAACTACAAGTGGAGAATTTTTTAGTCAATTTTTAATCTACTTACACTCCATTTTACAGATAAAAAAATAAAGGTTTAAAATGTTGTCCAAAAGAGTCAAATCAGACTTGACTCTAAGTCTCCAGATTCTTGGTTGTAATATTTTCTGGGCATATTTTTCAAGTATTTCCCTGTCCTTATGTGTGGTTTCATTAATAAATAATGTCAAAGGGAAAGTGAGTACTTTTAATCTCCAAAAAATAAACTGTACATTTTTTTTTCTGATACTAACCTTTCCATCTTAAGATACAGTTTTACGGATAGCGAAGAACTATACTTCTAGTGATCATTCTAGATGCTATTGAGTAGTGGGAGAAAATTTAAATTTATATAGAAGACATTGAATTCTGTTTTTTGGGGGGGAGGTCATTTTCATGCCAACAAGTTTTCTGACCACAGAGAAAAATACAACCCATCTTCAAGCATCGTTCCTCCATCAGGCAAACTGTCTTCTGAAAGCCTTGATTGTGATTGGGTTTCTCCTGGACCATTTCATACTTAACAACCAGGGTTAATTTCACATAGCTTCCTCCATCCAGAATGTAATGGAAGCGAAAACGCCTGTTCTCATGGCTCCATGCAGCAGGTCATAGCTGCTGGAAATTCTCTACCGTAAGGACACAAGACATGGGGGTGGGGACGCTGAAATATTTGGAAATGGCCCATCAATTAAGGGCATCATAATTAATTACTTTTTATTATTCTAAAAGAAACCGTGGTATTTTGCCCGTTTGACTCTGTAATATTCACGGGAGCCTCTTGTTCTTTCCAAGAGGTTCTCGGTGACATCTCTTGATGGGATACTGACGTAGGCAATGGGCAGCTAGTAAGTGGGAAAGAAAAGATGGCATCAGGGAGTTGGGAAAGCTGCTGTGGGGACCAGAGGACTTGAGAGAGGTTGCAATTTCCTATCTTTAAGATTTTGAGTTGCTACAATTTTGTGAATTTTAGGCAAAATGACCACCATAACCCAGGTTCTCACTGATATTGCTGCCCTTGACCTTTTCCTTTGGTTCCATTGCCCATCCCAACTCATAATCCAACTTCTAACTCCTAGAAGCACTGAAGCCTCAGAGGGGCTGCTCTGAGATGCTAGCCGCCTCCCGACTGTGTTTATCACCTTACCCGGCAGGTCGGAGAAGCCGTGTCCCTTCCGCAGGGTGAGGCACACCCTCCACTGTAATCCGTTCCGAACCCTCTTCCCTCCTCAGAACCCCCACAGCTCCCTTTCTGTCAGCCTTTTACCCAGGCTCCGTGGGCTTCCAACTTAGCACATAGCCATTCCGAAGGCCCTCCCTGTCCCCACCCCAGAGGCTAGACTGTGTCACTTGTATGCTTCGGAGCTGGGACTGAGGGAGGAGATGTGCTCCCAGCCCCACCTGCACAGCGCCGACTGTGGTCTGTGTCCTCCCCACAACACCACGCACTTCCTTGTTTCTCTTGTTTCTTTTCTGTCCCCATCCATCAGTCTTAAAAAATGTTAGCCTTTTGTTTTGATGACTCTGGCTTATTGTGATTTTCCTCCTCCCTTCCTGAACATTCAGTTCTTTCTTCATCCCTAGAACGTTAGCGTCTTCTTTGGGGTGAGCTCACCCAGTCACATGGTTTTAGTCATCTGCACGTTGATGACTTCCAGATCTTGTTTTCTAGGCTTTTCTGAATTTTGGGTCCTTCCAGCCAATTAGTTTTTGGAATTCTCCTCGAACTTCAATGAGTAGTTCAAAGTCAACATGACTAATACAAAAGAGAAGACTTTCTCTCTCAACAACTTACCCCTCATTTTGAGAATGCTCTGGTTGAATGAGCCCACTCTGCAGCCTGTTTCCCAAGACATCATCTTGGAAAGCATCATTAATGCCTTGCCTTTCTCCTTCCTCTCCACCCATTCGGTCCCCTCATCCAGCCAGGTCTGCCTCCACAACACCTCTGTCCCTCCTCTTTTCTTCACCACCACTGGTCTCACTGGGCACCAAGTCCTTAGTAGCCCTGCCCGTTATCTTTCACTGGACTATCAGAATACTCTTTTTCACACACCACTCTGATCCTGCCCTGTTTTTGTTTCAAGACCTTTAGGACTGCCTATCATTTCTAAGAGATAATGGAAGCTCTTTTGCAAGAGAGACAAACCTCTGACTACATCTCCAGCCTCACTGAGTTCTGCTTCTCTCAACACGGGCTCCAGTTTTGCCCGCATACCTGTGTCCCTGTATACATCATGCATGGTCAAGGCTGTGTGTCCTTGTATGTGTTGCTAAGTCTTCAGGAGCACCCTGAAGTCCTGGACTTGCTTGGAAAATTCTTATTCAAGTGTCCGCTTTGGATGGGAAGCCTGTTCCTCTCCCACAGGCTTTTTTTCATCATCCATTCTGGGTTTGGTCCCCTCCCTGAATACTTACAAACACCTCCTGTCCATCTCTGCCATTCTGCTTCCATACTCTACTGTATATCGTATATGATATTCTCTCCTTCCTGAGCACAGCAATACACCACTTTTGTTGGTGCTGAGCTTCCTGAGATGAGCCTTTTATCTTTATATCCTCAGCTGCTAGTACTCATGTCTGGGAAGTGATTCCTATGTGATTGTTGCATGACAGGAATAAATCAACAGATTAATCAACCACCACATAATTAAAGGATATTGACAAGAAGAAATAATAAATTACTCTAAATTAAAAATCTTTAATAGAAGTATTAATTACAAAGCATAGGCTAGGACCCAGCAGATTTCTATATGAAATACATAAAACATCTGTGACCTTCTCCTTTAGGTAGGAAGGGTACAGCTCAGGTGAGAACCAAGTAAAACAGGGTAAATAGGTTCCGGTACAACAAGAACTTTTTTTTGCTTCCTGAAACATCATGTGCTATTATGTATCAAAGCCTCGTAAACACAGGGTACACAATGTCCAGGTGACTGCTATTATTCTGGGGACCAAATATGGCGGAAGTGACTTGTAACCACTGGAGTTTGACCACAAGCCAAGCCATAAAGCTGTGTGCTTTCTGTCCTCACAGGTATTTGAACCAGACCCTACCAGAAGATGTATCAACAGCAGAGCATTCTCTGAACAGGGAAAAATTCGCTATTTTGAAACAAGCCCTGAATGTAATTGGCTTCAGTCACTTGGTGAGTCATACCATAAATATTTCACTGAGAAAACCAACCTTCTACTAGTGTACAAAAGTTATTCATTCAAAAACATTTACCGAGGCCCTATCATATTCCGGATATTGGTGGGAATACTCATGATTTAGCAGAGAATAAGCCTCAATCTCTGCCTCCTAGAGTTTATGTTTCCGTGGGGGAGTTAGACAACACTGTGCCCAGGGTCACAGGTCCTATGATGACAAATAGTGACCAGAGGAAGGGCATCTCTTTTCAAGAGGGTGGTCAAGGAGACTTTTTCCCAAATGAACCATATGAGCAAACGGATTAAAGAACTGTGCATTGACCAACTCCAAAGAAAACTGGCAAATCTGAAGGAACTGTTTGCTGCCAAGAATTGCTTTGAAAAGTAACCTAATGACTTATTACAGTATCTTTCTTTGCAACATAAAGCTTTTTTTTATTCTTAAAGAATTACCAAATACCCACAGGCATCATGAAGCGGAAAAATACAATTTAAAATGTTTAAACCACTGCTCTACAATAGAAATTTTTGTACTCATGGGAATGTTCTGGATCTGTGCTTCACAATATGGTAGGTCCATGTGTGGCTAGCAAGCACTTGAAATGTGGCTGGTGTGAATAAGGAAATGAATTTTTCATTTCTTAGTTTTAATTAATTTAAATTTAAGTAGACTTGTGTGGTCAGTGGTTAATGAATCAGACAGCACAGATCTAGTGGACAGGAGATCTGAAATGAGATAAGCCTGGAGACCCCCGCACCATCCCCTCAAATTCCTCTTCCCCTTACACATTGGCTGTGCCCTCCTCATTTGGTTTGGTGTCATTTTGAATTAATAGCCAATTCCTCATTGGCAGTTAATAGGAAATTGCAGGGATAACTTTGGTATGCCAGTAGTTTAGCCACCCAGATTTAGCCTTAGATTTATATATCTTCTTTTTCTTATAGTAAGTTGATAGATTTGGGTCTTTGTTTTTTTGTTTTTTTGTTTTTTTTTCCCTAGCCCACATAGATACAGCTCACAGGACAGCAAGGTGTGGGAATATAAATGAAATAGCTCTGGTCACTTCACCTTCACCCCATTCGGAGACGGGAATTCTAGGGACCTACAATCATATGGTCTTTTGTTTTTTTCTTTCTCTCTCTCTAATGATCCAATCTCTCTATTTTTGTCTTTTAGTGACTCCCACCCATTTGCACTTTTCTGTCCTTGCATTTGCTACTGTTGTACTTTTCTTGTTATTTTTTTCCCCTTCTTCTGTGCCTAAAATTTCTGCTTCCTTCTAGGAAACTGGGATAGAGAGATGGGTAAGGAATCATTCTACCAAAGTACCCGTTGCTTGGAAACAGGGCTTTAAAAATCCGTGATTGATTCTCAAAGGCAGGGCAACCAAAATATGCTTTCCACCTAAGGTAGCTAATAAGAGAATCTACCACCTTTTTGGTAAAAGAAATATGTGCATTTTAACAAAAGACATGAAGGTAATTGTTTCACTGAGATGCTTTAGGGCGATGGGTATGGGGACATTTTAGTGCACTTAGGAGGAATGGATCATGCCCAGGTATGTCTGGGCTGGCAAGGCCCTCGAAGACTTGCTCATCAAGGTGCCTGTGCCCAGAGGGACGGCGGGGGGTTGGGTGGGGGGACAGTTGCTCACTCTCCACACACACGGGACAGCAGCTCTCTGCTCACAGGGCATAGTGTTCAGCACTCGTAATTCATAGTATGGCTAGTGGTCATACTCTGTGTCCGCTGCTAAACTCTGAGATCTTTGAGGTCAGAACAAAGTCTTTGTGACCATGTCTCCAAAGTCCCTACCTCACAGAGCACTGGGAAGCCTCCTGAGGCGTGACTGGATTTATTACAAAGGGGGAAAGCAGTTATCAGGGAGCGTGAGGAGTAAACTGTTACTCAAACCAGCATAATTCCATAAAATTTGAAACCATAACCTGTGACTGGTGGGTCACCAAAACCATTTGTAAGTAATGCCACAATCCTAGAGTATTACACCTAAAAATTACTTGGAGACCATCCTTGTCCATGTCCTCATTTTAAAGATGATAGAGTTATACTTTGTGGTGAAAACTGGCAGTTCTAGAGGAGATTCATGGACGTCCTAAGGGCTACATTACTCCACCTATATATTTATAAAGCAAATACAAATTGTTCTTAGTAAATTGTTACAGGCAGCAGCTTTCTATTTCAAAATTACAGATTAGGAAAATGAGAATTTAGAAGATTATGTCACTTGCCCAGTGTGGACCTTAACCAGTGTTACTGTCGATATCATGATACTAAATATTTGTTCTAGAGAAGTATATTTCTCAGCTTACAGAGTTTCTTGATTTTTCATTGTCGCCACAAAATGACTGTCCATAAGCCAAATTTAAGGTCTAATTTCTTTCTTTATGCAGAGTTCCAGATTCTCAGATCTCCTCTTTCAGCAGACACTCTCTTATTTCCTTCTCCCTTCTGCTCAAAGATAGCTCTTGCCAACATGCATTTCTTTCTCTTTTCCTTAAGATACCTTAAAAAACAATTAGCATTTTTTAATCTAGGCATAGATGCTTGTATTGTGCCTTCCTGAATTTCCCAGCAGAAGTGAGAAGTCCGATAGTCATACCATCAGTTTATCTCAGAAGGGACATAACAGGAAGATGGACATCAGAGCCCGTGGCCTCTCGGGAAGCAGAGTCGGTGGGTGGCCCCGCATCAGCCTGGGGAGCACGCGTGCGATCTGTGCACTGATGTCCAGTGATGTCCAGTGATGGCCCGCCAGTCTGACTCATCAGGACACAGTAATTCCTGTTTCAGTATGAGATTTATCTAGAAACTGTCCATTTATATCAGCGTCACTTCCTTATACCCTCTTTTAAGGAGCAGAGACATTGATTTAGAAGGAAATGTGTACTAACGCGATTTTGGTTTCAAGCTGGAGATGGGTAGTTCTCTTACTAGACGCTCGGGATCTGAGAAGTCACAGCCCCACCAACAGAGTCCATGTCAGTTTTTTTTTTTTTAAGCTATTAGGTTTTTAAAGGATTTGTCTTTTCATCTTTCTTCTAAGCAACTCTATTCATTTTCTGTCTTTGTAAAACGGATAGGAAGTAGAGAATCTGTTTGTGATCCTGGCAGCAATATTACACATTGGAGACATTCGATTCACTGCTCTGACCGAGGCCAACTCTGCGTTTGTCTCTGACCTCCAGTTTCTGGAACAAGGTCAGTGGAACAGATCTCTCATTAACCTCATGGGTGTGCAGTTTTGCAGATCTGCCAGTAGATGGAGACACAGTACAGAAAAGCCAGGGGAAGAAGCCCTTTCTTCCGGAGTAGAATTCGGAGTGGTAAAATAATATTAATAATAATAAAAGACCTGTATCCACTTTATTCTTCTTTCTTACAAATGGTTTGGGGAATGAATAACGGTACGTACGTGATGTTCTCATGCTTCCCACATTTACAGGGTGGATTCTTAGGCACATTCTTGGGCTTGTTTATGTTGTTCTAAATATTTTTCCACCCCCACCCACCCCTGCCGCCCAGTGTATTTTGGGGGCATGTTATTAGCCAAACATTTTAAACAATATAATTACTTTCCTTCAAAGGTCTTGCCAAAAACTTCTCTCTCCCCTTTGAATTTGCCTTGTTAGTCACTCCCCGATTTTTTCCAAAATACCTTCAAGCCACAGATTGTCAATGAAAGTCACATCTTCACCTCATATCAAAGTAATTTAACCAGGGGCTGGGAAAAACATCCAGGGCCGTCTCTGAGGGCAAGGAGGGAAAAGACCGGTAGTGATTTAAGGCAGAGGCCCCACCAGCTCATTAGCGTTGTGATTACCAGGAGAGGTTTCTCTAGTTTGTTTTGATAATTAAAGCGGTAGTTCAGTGTTCTGCAATACACCCAGTTCCTCATGGGTCTATATCATAAACTTGTAAATAATAACCATAAAGTATAATATTTTTGCCATCCAAAAATATATACTAAACTTACGTTTTCAATGCTGCTTTAATTTTAGTGGCCGGATTGTTACAAGTATCAACCGATGAGTTGGTGTCTGCTCTAACAACCGATATCCAGTATTTTAAAGGTAAGTTTACTATACTCTGATGTTTATCTCTGTGTAGTTTGTGGTCTTCTTTGAGATATGGCGAGCAAATGCAACCTTCCTTTCCCCACCCCGTGTAACTGTTTCTATGAACTGAATGCCAAATGAGAAAAGCATTATGAGCCCATCTGGTCACTTGATGTGACTCTGTGTTGGAAAGCCTAGAAGCTCTTGAGAGACCGTTTTGATGAACTAGTCACCTTCTCTCGCTAATCAGTCATTTTAGACAAATCAAGTCATCAATCCAAGAGGACATATTCATCTAAATAATTGGAACCATTTGTGTATGGCTAGGCCACCCTCGTCAATGAGGAGCATCCCCTCCCCTCTACGGCATAAGTCAGAAGAAGAGCTGCTATTTATTGGGCACTTAGGAGCTGACGGGCACTGTGCCAAGTGTTATAAATGCTGGAATTTTAACATTCTCACCAATCGCTATGAAGTGGGCATCACTTTTTCTTTTTAACAGATGAGAAACCTTAGATTCAAGGAGACTAAGTAACTTTGCACATCAAACCACTAGCAAAGGCATGTTTGGATCTAGAATCGAATGCTGTCTGACTCCTGCCATGACTCTCCACATGCCATGCGCCATTTCTCTCTGTGCAGTGGGCGAGGAGAGTGGTTTTCCCACATGCACCTCGGTTGCTCCCTGGAAATCGTTGCCCTACCAACCTTCCTCTTAGTGAAAGTTTGAGGACTCACCATCCCTCTGATCTTTTTTCTCTAAATCACCACTGTCCTTACCTGTTGCTCCTCTTGAACCTACTTGTGGATGAACCTACTTGTGGCTTATCCTTTCTGCCCCTAGCTCTAGAGGGTTCCCTTCCATGTTCCGGAACTTTATGACTCTCCCCATCATCCAGTCAGCTGTGCAAAAGTCATTTTGATGCCTTTTCCTCCTCCTTCTCCACTGAGTAGACCAGACGCAAGTCAGCTCTACTCCACAAATCTCTCTCATTCTCACTACCTTCTCTTCATTTCTGTCACCACTGCCTTAAGATGTCATTCCTTCCCTAGAGCAGAGAACAGCACCCTCTTTAATCTTTTATCTCCAATTGTCTCCCTTCCCCACTGCCTCAAGAATAGTCTTGCTGAATCATATTCTGCAAATGTGATTTTCATCTGTGGACAACAGCCTTTCAAAGATGTTCCCAGTTCTTTCCGGGTAAATCTCATCCCTTTAGGATAGCCCAGCATGCACGCCCTTTATTATTCAGGCCCACTTCACTTTTATACTTTATTCTGAGCCATTTTCCCACCAGCCCTTGCATCTAATTATATTGTTTCTTGAACTTCTCCAAAATCATCATCTCTCATGACTTTTTAAAGAAAACTTGAACTCACCATTAATATCTAGAATTTACTATACGCACGTTTTTCTGCTTACACTGTCCTCATGTCCTGAATCGCCTGCTCTGTTGGTGACCCATCGACACCCTCAATCATGTTGACTCTGGAGACCTTAATTCTATAATGTCATAAATGGCACCTGCTTTCACGGCCACCTTGTTTGTTGATCTCGATGGCCTTGAACTTGCAGGTCTCTGAGTCTTCCTTACCTACTGTTTTTTTTTTTTTTCTTCTTCTTCTTCTTTTATCTCTGCCTATCTCAGAAGAAGTTCTCCTCCACTGACCAAGAGCTCACTCAGCTGTTCTTTCCCATGGTCATCATCCTATTACTTAGCCCCCTGCTCGGCCGCGTGTCCCAGGTTAGCTGGCTGGCCGTGGTATGAGTGTTAGACTCCCTCCTCTCCGACTCCAGCATCAGAGCTATCACAGGCTCAGCTCTAAATCATCCTCACCTGTTTTGTTTTTTTAGTTTTTTTTTCCTCGAGTCTTTTCTAAAAACCCTATCACTCAAGATTTCAATCACCGTCTCTTTAGAGAATGAAATAAACATTTCTACCCTAAGGCCCCAACCCGTTCCCAAACTCCAGACTCACATTTTGGTTAGCTGGACCATGTCTTTGAAAATATTTAAAATATGACTGATTTTCCAGATGGGCAGGTTTCCAGAGGCCCTGGGGACAATTCATATTCAAACCAGTGAGCGGTTATCGGAAAGCTTGTTAAGAGGGCCCCGCCCACGGTTGGTTCCCTAACGGAAAGGAAATTATACAGCCTGCCTCGAGATCCAAAGCTGTGCTCAGTGTCGGTAGCAAGTAAGACTGCAGGGTACATGGCCCTCACTTTGGGAAACATTTTAAGTAATAACTGGCAGAGACCTCATTTATCAGCCTTGTTGCATAGTTTTAACATCTTTTGGCGTAGGGGGATGTGTAAGGGATAAAATGGATGTGTGCGGTGTTGTTCTACATGAGGGAAACCTTGTTCTACCTCCTCTCCTTTCTGCTGTTCCAGGGGACACCATCATACGGCGACATACTGTGGAGATGGCTGAATTTTACCGGGATCTCTTGGCCAAGTCCCTGTTCGGGCGTTTGTTTAGCTTCTTGGTGAATACCATGAACTGTTGCCTCCACAGTCAAGATGAGCCCAGCAGGTAGGATTGGTGGACACTGGTCTGCAGAGTTATTCCTGTAGTAGCCAACTTAAAGGGCTCCCCTCCTGCAGGTGCTTTGTCATCCAATGCGACACGTAAGTTACACTATCGTGTAAACATCTCATTTTAACAAGTGATTTTACCTAAAGGGTTTTATGGACTCTTCCTTAGAGATTTAACCCCCCCTCCAACTCCCCACCCCTTCACATTGATGAATTAATCAAATCGTATCTCATGCATGGGGATGCATGTACATTCTCTCTGGGCTGAAGGTATATCTGGCCTTTTGAGCACTAAGAAATGTAAAAAAAATTATAAATCTGGGAAGAAGACTGTTTAAGAATATCTAAAGCACTTAACGTTTGTTGAGGCATCCATGTCTCTCTTAGGACCAATTCTTCACTTATTTGTAGATTATTTGACGAGAGGTCTCTATGGTAATCATTTTGACTCATAGCCTTAATCACCTTTAAAGCAGTAGCTTTACAGGATTATTTGACGATCTAAAAAATTATAGACCTCCATGGCATCTTGTCAATGCTAAACTTTGTTAATATTCTTGTCACTAATAATGACCTTGGGCAGGCCATTGAAAGCAGAAATGCATCCAGAGGTCTTCACACGTAAGCTTGTCTTTGAATGAAACCTTTTGAGGATTTCTTTGTTGTCCATATAGAGTTCTTCAATAAATTCCTAAAAATTGCTACCTTTGGAGGTTTCTTGGGAAACACTAGAAGTAACATGTATTGATGGGACAGTTCTTAAAGAAATGTGGGCATCTCAGAAGACAAAGGGATACTGAAGACCTCATTAAAATGTGCACATATAAATCTCACAGCATGTCAGGCAGCACACAGTACAGTCTGGGATTTGGGATCTAGGTGTAATATTATCGATATTTTAGCAGCTATGCCTTAGAGTTTGGTATGGGAGGATTCTTGGGTTTATAGTTGTTTATTGTCAATTTGTAATTTTCCTTTAAATATGAAGATAATTCACAGAATGATACTAATATGCTAAGTCTTGCAAATTAATCTTGTGTGAAATTATTGGCTGTGCAGCTGAAATTGACATGGAAAAAAATTAATGTTGTAAATCCAGCTGCACATAGAAACTTACAGAAAATTTCCATTTGACATTTATTTTTTAAAAAAGATTTATTTATTTTAGAGACACAGAGAGAGAGAGAGCGCGCGCACGTGCACATGAGCAGGGGTGGGGGGAGGGGGCAGGGTGAGAGAGACTCTTAAGCAGACCCCACACTTAGCACAGAGCCCAAAGCAGGGCTTGATCTCAGGACCCTGAGGTCACGACCTGAGCTGAAATCAAGAGTCGGATGTTCAACTGACTGAGCCACCCAGGCACCCCTCCACTTGGCATTTAAATCTTACAGAGCCTTAAATTTATATAATTGGAAAAACTTATACATAGCCTCGATATTTGACTACACACACACACACACACACACACACACAGAAATATACAAATATAAACCTTGGAAAGCATATTGTTTCCCTTTCAGTGGTAACATTGCCACTGTGTCAGTATGTAAATTTATGGTGTTAGTGCTGTTTCTTAAAATTCTTTACCAAGCAAATGAATGAGGACAGGGATTAGCAGGAAATTAGTAATGATTTAATGTATTAGAAGTTTAACTTAGAAGACATAGTATCCTCAGATGAGTCACAATTCCCATGTTTTTCTCCCATTTCTCCCCGGGGTCACCCAAACCTAAATTTAAATCTCAAAATACTGCAAAAAAAGGTTATGTTTGCAGTATTTCTAACTCATTGAAATTCATGGAAAGCTGAAGGATTTGTAGATTTACAGACCCATTTCCTAAGTCTCAGAGAGGTCTCAAAATTTGGATAAACTTAGGCTTTGATTGTTTATGAATCCTCCATTTTTTTGAAATGTGTAATCATGTCAAAACCATTATGTAAGAAATGTGTATCCCCATGGTTCAAGTTGGCGAGCACTCTTGATGTTGATAGGGAGTATTTTTCACACTACATTTGTTTTTTGTGGGTTTTTTTTTTTTTTTGGTAAATTTTGCAAGAGAGAATAACTATAAATAAGATGTACTCTAACAAGTTATTAAAAGAAAACAAGTGAAATTGAATCAGATGAAATGTTTGTTCTTGGAATGCTGAACTCATTTCCTGGATTACAGCAAAATAGGTACAATATTAATAGTATTATACACTTTAAAAGATGTTACTTTCTCTACCTAGATTCTAAATAGGGTCACTTCTAAGTTAAAAGCCTGAGGTATAATGTGGGAGATGGTGATGATTAGTTAATTATGATGAACCAAAGCATTTGCAGTATTTGCTTGGCCAGCGTCAAGCCAGTAAGATTGCAGTGTGGATGTCTCCCAGCCTGTGGCAGGCCGTGGTTTTAATGTCCTTGTGCACTGGCCGCGACAGGCTGGGCACCGACCAGGCTGGGGAAGCTCTCATTCAGGGGACACGCTTTATGGCCAGGGCACTCCAGAAATTGAAACACACTATAACTTTATTTATTAGGCTCAGTTGACAATAATTTGGTCCAAGTAGGCAAAGAAGGAATAATGATAAGAATAGCAACAAAACCAATATATACAATGTGTTATATCATATACATTATTATATATAATGCATTATATATAATGTATATTATTATGTCATATATCAAAATCCTCTATATAATATGCAATATATAATAATATATATACACATATGTTATATAATATATAATATGATATATGATATCATAATATATAATTTATAATAATTTATACATATTATATACATAAATCATATCATACATATATAATTATATATAAATTATTATATCATATACTAATATTCTTATTGTTGTAATAGATTATTTAATGTATAACTATTATATATGATTATATATGTATATGATATGATAATTTGTATTATATATGTACATAATATGTATATGTATGTTATTATATATTATATGTGAGAATGTATATGATATATGATATAATAATATAATACATTCATTTGTTTAAAACTTTAGTGTTCACAAAGTGCATACATATAAACTACCTTCAGAAGAAATCCTGTGAAACAGCCAGGAACAGCACACGTTATTGTGGGAGCAATGGCAGCTCCAGGAAATTGTGAGGTGTGGATGTCCTGCTCCTCTTTCCCCTCCCGATGCACCTCCCTCTGAGAATTCCTACACAAGTCAGAATTGTGGTGTGTTAACCGCTTTCTGAGACATTTCTTTCTCTAAACTATCACTTTGGCCTCTGAAGTGAGGGGTACACAAGGTTAATACGGTGTTCCATGATGCCGGCACACCCCTCCTCCCTGCCCGGTCGTGATCTCGGGCTCGTGGACCGTGGGCCGGGCCTCGGTGGCTGTCCCAGAGCGTCTGCCCAGCATCGGCTCACGGGCTTGCTGCCGCCTCCCGTCCTCACACATCCAAGTGCTTTCATGGTCTTTGGGGGACATTATCTGTCAGTGCTCACCTTCATGTTTGATTCGTAATCGGTTGAGAAATAGACAGTGGAGTAAGGCATTAGGAGCCAAGACACTGGTTCTGCGGACTGGGGGAGACAGCAGACCCGGGACGTGCCCCCGAGTGCGGGCAAGCTGCTCTGACCTCCGCTGTCACACAGGCTGGCTTGCGTGTGGGCCCCGTCAGCACTGGGGGGACAGCCGCCCCAGGCAGGAGGGCTCCAAGCCTCCCACCAGGGCTGCCTCCTGCTCGCCAGTGGAGGAAGCCCTCCTGCAGAGGCCAGGAGAGTTACAGCCCATGGAGCTTCTCTCCATGGAAGGAAACCCCAGGATCAGGGCAAGTATCTCCACTTAACAAGATGTGAGTGTTAATTTAAGAGTTGATTGGCTTGAGGGGCACCTGGGGGGCTCAGTCATTAAGCTTCTGCCTTCGGCTCAGGTCATGATCCCAGGATCCTGGGATTGAGCCCCACATCGGGCTCCCTGCTCGGGCTCTCCCTCTGCCGCTCCCCTTGCTTGTGCTCTCTCCTCTCTCTCTGTTGAATAAATAAATAAAATCTAACAAAAAGAAAAAAAGAGTTGATTGGCTTGAAAGACCCAAGGCCCATCTGATGCAAGAAAGCACATAGGCTCAGGGACTCCTGTGCTGAATGGCTTGGGTCCTTTTTTTCCTGATATTTTTGAAAGGATACAGCTGAACCCATCTGTCTTACGGTGTGACAGTCCTCCCCTTCTGTAGTCCTTAAGATGTGGCCACTAGATACGCAGGAGACCCTTGTAGTGTAATAGTACTTGGCCTCAACTCCCCTGTAGATTGTTAGCTGACACCCCATGACCAGTGTAGGCATAAAGAAATTCCATGTTTGAACCACATGGAGATCCATATGTAGATTCTTATAACCTCATATGTAGAAAATTGGCAACCGCCAAGAACACGGGAAACACTGGTCTTCGATTCCACCCTTCACTGGCCAGTTTTCTTCCCAGTGCATCCAAAGCTGTGTGGTGAGCTCCCTTCCCAGGGATACAGCCCTTCTTCTCCCCAAGGAGAAGTCTTCCCTCGGATGCTTCATTAATTACAGTCAGACCAACATCCTTCTGCTTATTCTTCTCAGGAGGCCTTGAGCTGATTCCCAGGGTCCCCTTTCCCCAGGGAGTTAGCTTCCCTGATCAGGAAACCACAGTCTCCTGCAGCTTCATGGTCCCGCTGCTTCCTGAGTGTGCCCCAGCTCCCGTCTGCCCTGTGGTAGAGTTGTGATGTGCAAACATTTGGGGACTGTCACCTCCTGTGTTTCTGTCTGAGTCTTCCTATAGCTCTAAGTAGGCTCCTTTCCAGGGTCCACCCTCTGTGTTCCAGAACATCACCTCAAGCACAAACTGTGGGAAATAGACAGGATTCTGGATAAATTTCCTTAATACCTCCCTGTTCCCATGAATTATTTTGCCTTATCATTGTGGAACTCCTTCTCTGTTTCAAGATATGGGTTGGCTGTTTTTAGTGGAACATTCAAAATGGAAAGG